GCTTTTAACGGTAATTGTTGTCAATCTGTGTTATGAAAATCAGAAATTACTGGTTATAATAAATCATTCAGAAACACGAAGTATCTGAGATTTTTAGAACCAGTAAGTAAGATGAACATAATTTATTTGTAAAAAATAATTGAATCTGTAAAAACTTACCAGAATCTGGAATACTCTTTTTAATAATTTAGGAAGAAAATATTATTCCCCTCTAGTATACGAGGTTTGATTTGGAATATACCTCCCAGGGTAAAATGATCTTAATCAGTAGAGTATATACCAAAAGTTCTACTGTCGGCGAATCAATCCACAACAGGAAAGTACACGAAGAAATATGTGTTTTTAAGAAGAAGGAAGATCAGAAAATTCGTAGGGAAATATTCTGAAGACTGAATGGTATTTATAGGCAAGAAGAATATATATTCTCAAACGTTGCAATCCTTTCAAAATTGACACGACTATTAATGAAAGGTTGCAAACTTTCAAATGATATTGCCTGTTCCTGAAAGTTGCAACCTTTTCAGAACAGTCATGGCGGGAATTTTAAATATAACGGAAATTAAAACGGGTCACGCGCGCGGATCCGAGTCGGGTCGGGTTAACTAAAAAATTGGAAATATTTTTAACTTCTGTTATCAACTAATTAATTGAAAATAATTTTTGGTCATTTAATTAAGTAAATAATTAAAATAAATTTGTCAAAAAGAATTATCTCTCGATCATTTGCCAAAGTCGAAGCGAGCGAGCAACGACGACGACAGCGTGAGGGGGTCCCTCTTTCCAACCCTTTTAACAATTAATAGGAGTGTTTATTTATTTAAACTCTCCTATTTTCATTTCCATTACCGATGAGGGACAATTGCCTTTTTGATTAAAGCATTAGAGGACTTTTCAAGTTTCCAACCTTTCAAGTTTTAAACTTTTCAAATTTCTCTCCTTCCCTCTATTTTCCATCAATTCTTATTACATACCCAACAGTAATAAAATATACATTATCAAAAAATGTTAAATTCTTTAATTATCGATATTAATTTATAATCATTAAATTTAATATCACTATAAATTTTAAAGACATTAAAAAAGATAATTATTGCTAAATATACATATTTAATAATAATTAAATTATAATTAATAATTAATTGTTACTAAAGATCAATTTTGATTGACGGGGGCATAATGGCATTATGTTACATCAATGTGGCTGCTGACACTCATTAACATTAAAATATGAAGACCATTATTGGATAATTTGAATATCTGCCACATAAATAGCAAGAGATGATCGTAGCAGTCGCAGTGAGAATGACGTTATCATGGCGGAGCCATGAATTTAATAAAAAGTATTTAAAAATAATAATTTATTATATTAAAAATATCTAAAATATGTTATTTAATTATTTTGTATATCATTTTATTTATATATATAATATTTTTTTCGATAAAGAATATCCAATCAATACGTGGCTACGTCGTCACACAAGTAATTAGTAAAGATAATAATGGGAGTAGAAGAAATTGGATTACTAATCAACTTGCTGCACATGTTCCAAACTAATTAATGGAGTAGAAGAAATTGGATTTATGGAAGATTTTAAACAAGGGTAAATAAAAGTTTGTGGTGTATAATGCAATCCAGTCGTAACAGGGAGATTCTATATATGCTTGTTTTACTATTATTTTTATCTAATTGTTATAATTTTCTTCACATAGTTAAATTATAAAAAATAACTTTGACTAATATTTTATAATGTATTTTTTCATCTTATTAATATATAAAATATTGTAAAATTAATCAAAATTGACCTTAGAAAAACCCTAACATAAAAATTAAAGTGGATGAGAGTGTGTTAATGATTACAGTTTGAACTTAAGTAGGCGTACGTTTGGCATTGGAGCCTGATCTTCAAATCAGCATTTGTGTTTATGAATAAAAATAAATTCTGATCTCAACTTTTTTAAAATATGAAATTTGATCCATAATTTATATTTTACTCCCAAAAAGCCTATAATTAAATTTTGTAAAAAAACAAACTCATGATCAATGTGAAGAAATTGTCTATGTCAATTGTCATATGGGAGGATTTTACAAAAAAATTAGTTACTACTATATATTGTTGAATTTATTGAACTAATTATTTTTTAAAAATATTACGTGTATTTAAAAATTTAAACATATAACCATAAATATTTATAAAATGAACACACAAGATATATGATTTATTGATTTTATATATACAAATACCTTATTTATAACCGATAACAACTATGGAATTTTTTATAGGATTATAATTTTTCACAAATTATAGGGTTTTAATGCTTATAAAAAAGTATAATCCCATATAATTTAAGAAATCTGCATATACAAACAAAATTTCAAACTTTAAATTAAACATCAAACAAGAAAATTTTCTTTTCCTGAATATAGTTAATTATGTTCATATTTTCCATATGCTAAGTGCATTTACAATATAACCATTTTACTAGGCTTAAACAAATTAACTTTTGACAGGATTTCTAGGCCTTTTTTTTTACCGATGAGTGTTACCCAATTTAAAAATAATAAATATTATATTGCTCGAATTTTTTAAAAACTCGATATAAGCTGTGATTTCTGAAGCATGAGACAAATAATCTGTAAATGTAAAACACGTAACTTGGTCTGCATGCTTTCATTTCCTTTGTTTTCTATGGTAAAGTAAATATATGACTTAAAATTAACCGCAAACAAAATTTTACTTTTTACTAACTTTGTAATCCAAAACGAGATTCTGGGGGCACGGGGCTTCGACGTGCTCTAGTCCCTTAATAAGTACCTACTTTTTATGTTGATTTTGATTGTTTAATTATGAATTTACACGTGAAAAATATATTTATAACTATTATAAAAATCACAATAATTCATAATTTAAAATATTTTAATATAAAAAATGGTATTCAAAATGATCACTTATTATTAAACTTAGATGTTTGCAATTGTAAAATGACGTACTAAATTAGTAGAAGTAATAAATAATATGGTAGGAATATAGTGTAGCAAGAATTCAAAAATGTTTGTGACACCCTACAATACAAAAATTGTGTAACATATAGTTACCCTCCATTCGGTCTCCCTAATCAATTTATCTAACTTCCAAAACTAAAAAGGTTATAGGTGATCTACTTTATATAACTCTGCTTCAATTCGATCAATTTTTTCTTTTTTTATTATTCGATATCTGATACTCATTATTTAGAAAAATTAAAAAAATATTTCCAAATTTTATTGTGTTAAATCAAAAATATGTTAAATATCATTTAATTGTATAGTCTTAAATATATCAAGTAGAAAATAGAAATTTATTAAAAAGAGAATAAATTTATTTTTTCTAAATAAACTTAAGAAATGAATAGTGTTTTTACAAATTTATAAAAGAGAAAAGGGTCAAAATTACCCCTGAATCATGCGAAATAGATCACTTATATCATTCATTACGGGTCCGTTTGGCCATAAATTTTCCAAATAATATTTGAGTTTAATTTGACAAATAATGTTTGTCTATACAATTTGCCATTATTTGGCAAAAATATTTTTGGTAGATATCCCAAATTTCCAAATACTAGTTTTTTCTAGTATTTGAGCCAAATGTCATTATTTGAGATATTTTGAAAATTAAAATTTTACCTCAATCTTTTATCTTTTACAAAAACATCATTTCTAGTAGTTGCTTGCGTTGTATATACATAATTTTTTACGTGAATACCAAAATAGTGATGAAATATTTAGTGAATATATTAAATAATGATATGATTGTTGATGAAAATTATTAAAAATTAGCTCTAGGTAATAAAGTCATGTGTTTTGTCTACTTCACGATGTATGAAATAATTTTTGTTGCACTCACTCCAAATTACCATATTGCTTTAGTGTCATGGACACTATTTGTTATTGTTGTAACGTACATTCAATTGACTTATAATACAAATTTTTAGTTAGTTTTGATAGTTTTTAAAACTTGTGTGTATAAATCATATTTTTCTAAAAAGGTGAAATATATTTCCCAAATCCTATGTCCAAACACATGGTGAAATTTCACCCAAATTTTCACTCAAATAATATTTACCAAGAATATTTGTAAATCTATGGCCAAACGCTAGCTTCATTTTGGGATAATAAATACTCCTGTTGTTATCTTAAGAGACCACAAATATCCTCAAGAGTTGACACCCCAATTTTTTTAGTGACATGGCATGCCACATAGTACTAATCCTTCCACCTAGCATTGCCAACTAAGATTCATTACGAAAGAACTTGATCTTTAGTGGCAACAAAGACGCTACAAAATCTCAAAATATTGCCACTAAAGGTTATGAGTGATTTTTAGTGACGACTAAAGTAGAACCTATTTTTTCAACAAAAAAATATGGTAATTAAATTTTGATTGCAACCTAATTTTCTAAAATAAATAACTTGCAATATTAATATTAAAAACACTCAATATTATTACGAAAAATCATGAAACTTACTTCGATTCACATCTCCTACTCTATAATGCATCATTGTACATTTTATACATTTTCATATAACATAAACATAAAATAGTGTCTTCAAAATCCTACTTAATCGATATCATTTTCGTTTTTTTAAAAATAATGAAGAAAAAAACACAAAATTAAAATTTAATATTAAAAACTTTTAGTGACGAGTTTTTGGGCTTTTGTGGCGACTGTTATTACCACTAAAAGGTCTAGTTCTTTTGTAATGAATCCTTGTTGGCAATGCTTAAGTGGAAGGATTAGTCCCACGTGGCTTGCCAAGTCAATAAAAATATGGGTTGTTAACTCTTGAGAGTATATAAGATCTCTTAAGATAACAGCACGGCATTTTTGATCCCTAAATATAACGAAGGGCATAAATAATTTATTTCACATAATTCAGAGGCAATTTTGACTTTTTTTTCATTTTATAAAATGATTAACAATAGCACATGTTTAGTGGATAGACAAAGAGTAAATACATACTGTAACTATTAGCTAGCCATTATATGGCTATATAAGCCAACATCTTCCCCTGTGTCCCTTCTAAAGAAGAGTAGCAAAACATGAATGTATTAGTAGTACTCATCTTCTTTATCTCCTCATTCTTCCATGTAAATGCCTTAACTTCATCTGTGAAAAATGGCAGAGAAGCCTTACAAGTCATAATTGGTGGTGGAGGAGATGTTGCTCCTGCTTATCCTCCACAAGAAACACTTTGTCCCCCTCCCCCTCCTCCTGAGCCACTTTGTCCCACTCCAATACCACCACCACCCCCCAAACCAAATCCTCCCAAACCACCCCCACCCCCCAAAAAACCAAATCCTCCCAAACCCACCCCCAATGATCTACTAACATCAGCCATAAGTGTCATTCAAAGATTTAAGAAGACAATAACTAGTGACCCCTCTGGCATTACAAAAACATGGGTAGGCAAAGATATTTGCAAAGACTCAACCAAGTATGTAGGTTTCATTTGCAACAAGAACAAAGTTGTTGCTGTCAATTTCAATGGTAGAAACTTCAAGGGAAATCCTCTGTCTCTCAAAGATTTCATTAATGGAATCCCAACTCTCGAAATCTTCCATTCCAACTCCAACAACTTCACTGGAGAAATACCCAATAATATATCGACCCAGAGTATTCCTAATCTTTTCGAACTTGATTTGAGCAACAACAAATATGTTGGTTTATTTCCAAGAGCTGTTCTTGGTGCCACCAGGTTAACTTATTTGGATCTCAGATTCAACCAAATCGAAGGTCCAGTCGACCCTCAAGTATTCACACTCGACCTTGATATTCTTTTTCTCAACAACAATCAATTTTCCGGGAAAATCCCAGAAAATTTTGGCCGTACTGCTGCCCTGTATCTTACATTAGCCAACAATAAATTCATTGGTGAAATCCCCAAAAGCATTGGGTATGCGAAGGGAAATCTCCTTGAGGTTCTCTTCTTCAATAATCAACTTACGGGTTGCTTGCCTTATGAGATAGGGATGTTGAAACTGGCCTCTGTATTTGATGCTAGTAAGAACAAATTAACAGGTCCTATCCCGCAATCTTTCGGTTGCCTTGTGCAAATGGAAGTGATGGATCTGTCTTACAATCAATTATACGGCGAAGTGCCGGAGACATTGTGCAAGATCAGTAGCTTGGAGGAACTCACCTTGAAATACAACTATTTCACACAGATTGGACCGGAATGTCGCAAGTTAGTTGAGGAGAATGTACTTAATATTGGCATGAATTGCATTATTGATCTTGAGAACCAGAGAAAACCAGAGGAATGCGAAGCATTCTTTTTGCAAAAGAGAAATTGCCGGGACATGAAATCACTGAGCTATATACCTTGTAAGCTTCATGAATTCTCCTCTAGGAATAGTTCTGCACGTAGAGCTCATACAGGCGATGCAAAAGCTCGTTCGACTACTTATGCTGCCGTCAAAAAACCTCACCTCTGATTTATCAACCATTTGTAATTCTGTATTATAAAATGTATGTTCGATTGGGACAACAAGTAGCCCAATTTTGCAACATTGTTAGACTTGTATGTACTTGTTTTATGTATTGAATTTGTAAGTAATGAGTATAATTAAGCTTCAGTCTTGGTGTCAATTCGATTAAAATGCATCCACATTAAGAATAATAACATGATCTTTACTCTTTAGGAATTAGGATCATCTGTTCTTTAAAAAAGATCAGGAATTAGGATTGTCGAATCCATAGCCATACTTGGCTTGTTGCTAGCTACCAGTTAGTAAATTATGACTAAAACCAAATGTAGCAGCAGTAAATGTGCATAGACTTTGACAGAAAGAGAGTTATTTAATTTTTGTAGCTGTCCCCTGAACAATGGACCCTCCCTCCATTCATCTAGCATAATAAATTCAAAGTTCCACACATCTTTAAATTATGAAAATCACTTTATAATAACACATTGATGTTGGGAGCAACTTATATATGATTGCGACAGAACGTATAGCTGTTGGGATCCATTCTTCCTATAACGAAATGTCCCAACATATCCTTCGAATTCACCAAATTCTCTATACATAAGAACTCTTCACTTGTAACTCTATCCACTTTTTGATCAAAATCATGCACAAAAACATGTGTTTTCGGATTGCCACACTTTTTGCTCCGTGCCAGTACTCCAGCCGTAAAAATAGCTGACATTCTACCGGGTGCCTCTGGCCAGTACCCTCTTGGTCCATCAACCAAAATAACATCCCAATTCACCTCATAGAATTGATTAGGAAGATCATTTATCCCCAGTTTACACTCCGAAAACAACAAATTCTGCACTGGCTTACACTCATTCCGTATTTGTTCCTTCACTGCATCAATCAACTCTTTCCTATCACTCAATTTGGTTGTATACTGCACGTCATAAGCTTCAATTTCCGGATATTTCTCCTCAATGTAAGCAGCGTAATATCTATTCTCGTCAATGAAAACTGTTCTGCCATTGTGATTCAACGCTTTCCATAGAAGTGTCTCGTGTGTAAGTCCGAAAACAAGGAGATTACAAGGCTGTTGACATTGTCGAAGAACATCAGCAATTTGTTTGATATCTGTATACGACATTCGTTCAGTGTTGTTGGAATTTGATGCATAATGTGTAAGAGCCCTTACAACTGCTTTTGATAATGGAGGATTAGCTGAAGCAGTTATGGAAGAGACCGCGGCGACAGAGGAAGTGGTGAAGGATTCTCTAGTGTAAATAAGAGCAAGGAGGAATGCAATAGTGAGGAATGAAATAGATGCAAGAACCCATAAACGATACGAGGTTCCTTGTTTTTGGATATAAGGATGTAAGAGTATGAGTTTTGTGTTATTGCCAATGTTGTTCTTCATCTTTGTGTCCTAGTTAAAATGATCTGTTTTATTTTCTTTTTTGTGAAAAGATTGAGTCAGAAATTTATGCAAAGTAGAATGGGAAGGGAGCTGAGCTTTAAAGAAATGTGGACATGAGAATTGACATGATAGTATGTAGTTTTATATGACAAACACAATTTGAACAGTATTGATACATACGAGGAGTTTAAACTGATAAAACAGATACTATACTTAATGGGGTTCGTGAATTGTAAGTTTGTACGAACCTAGTAGCTTTCCTGTGGATCTTATATTTGTATTAGAAAATTAAATAAATATATATGTATATTAACTTGTGAACCCTTAATAAAATTGATTAATGACTTAGTAGAACCTTCAAACTCGTAATCCTGATGCCTTTTGTTTTGTATGGGTGTTTTGACATTTCTACAAGGTGAATATTTTTTGTTTTCAATCATTTGTATTTTCTAAGCAGGAAATTTTTCCTTTTGATCATTTGTATTTTACGAGTAATTTACTCGTAGTTCATCTATTTTAACATGACTAAACAAAAGTTTAATTATTTTATTTATAGCTGGAAATGTTTAATTACTTTAATTTGACAAAAAGAATATTTCATGACTTAGTTATAAAACGAATAAAATTCAATCAATAATATTTGAGAGCTTCTAACTTAAAATTTTAAATGCATTGCAACTAAAGCAAACTGCAGGCTATCATGTTTTTTTGAATGAAGAAATTAGGGTCGCGCCAATATTGGATAGAACAGACGTAAAGCAAACTCTTATTGGCACAGTGAATTTGACTTGTTATATTTTCCTATCGACTATAATGGCTAGTCCATGATTTCAACATAATATATAAGTAAGCTCGACATTTGTACTTTTCAATTTTTATTACACATAAGTAGATATTTAAATTTATATAAAGTTGAACAAGTAAACACATATTTCATGTGTCAATTCACATGAGATACATTCGAACTGATTTTTGTCATATCACATTGAAGGTACGTGTTTAAATGTTCAACTTTATACAAATTTAAATTATAGCAAATTTAAAGAGATTATATCATATTTGGATAAAAAAGAGTAGTTGGAAGACAAAGAGGGGGAAAGGTATTTGGTAACTAATTTACAAGCAGCAAGTCGCTTTTCCTTGTGTATTCCATCTCTAATTCTCACGTTACCTCTATTATTATTATTGTTTTTAATAAATAAATAAATAAAAACTCATAACATTTACCTTTGAAGGAGACGAATCAACTGCTTACTGATTCCATTTTTGAGCCAAATAATTGTAAATACTCACGACTTACAAGCTTACTCCAATCTCAACAAATATTAGTTCTTTTTTGACGAATTAAACTTGTTTAAAATATTCCATGTTTTGTATAATAAGGTATTTATCACGAAAAATATTCCGTTTGAATTTGTTGAGATATGTATAAGTTTGGCGTGAAACATCACGATTAATTATAACTTTTTCATATATACAAGGTGTAAGATTTTACTTGTTGGACATAAAAGCATGATATACAGTGTAATGCTTGTCCACTTCAAGGCATGTGTTCTACAATCAAAAATCAAATTTTAGTAGTACTAAAGTTGAGGCGTTCTAGTGGTCCTAACTTTTTCCAGACCCAACTTCTTGTTATTTTTTCTACAAAGTATGTCTATGTGGGCTCGTGCTTTTCGTCCTGTTTAATTTTTGAGATTTTGACATGCTATACAGAATTGAATCTGATCGTTTTCCAGTTTCTGTTGAATCGGTTTGTATCTCAGCTTTCAATGGATATACATATTGAAGATATTTTATTGACAATGATTTTCACAATATGTATATTCGGAAGTTTGTATAGTCCTTTACAATATGTATATCGATTACTATATGCAACATGTATACCTAAATGTATACATGGTACTTCACAATACGACAAATAGATTCTTCAAAATTCGAATCATTTACAACACTACACAACGATCAAATTCAATTCAATTTTGTTTTCACCAAGATAGAAATCACAGGCACATATAGGGATTTGATAAAAATAGAGAACTCACACAATTCAAGGAGTCAAATAAACATAATCATCCATCCATTCATTGATTTGATAATAGATATTTACTGTGAGTTGTTGTGGAAACAACGTAGCCCATCCACGAACACTAGTGAATAACTAGTGAATAATGTATAATATGTGTATAACTAGTGAATAATGTATGAATACTGGCTAGCTACTATAAATATTCTATGGCTGAGTGACCAAATGTGTGTACCTTCCCAAAAATGAAAACGCCAATCAAAACATTTTATCCAATGAAGAAGTTTTTTAGCTCCCTTACTAAACCTATATTAAAATTCCTTCCAATTACAAACAAATGATATGTTCTTCTGTTGCTCATAACTGTGAGGAATTTTGAATCACAAATAATTTTCACGGAGCAATGGAACGGGATTATCTACAAAATAATTAAACTATGTATATCTTGCACAAAGGTTCATTTTCATCTTCTAAACTTTTACATAAATATCCTAGGTTCAACCGGTTGGCAAATTCTGCTAATGTAAGCTTAACTGTCTTATGTCACCCCCTTCTCTTAGGGAAATGAACAACATATGACTCTCCAACTGAACTGCATCTATGCGCGTTTTACTGCTGAATTCCAATGGATTACTGTTGGCCTTCCATTTCCATGATCCGTTTAATATGAAGGGCAGCTCTCACAACATTTCCCCTTGTTATTATTCCCACCTTCATTATATGACAATTGACTAATTAGTATATCACAAGGTAGAGAAGTACATATTCACAAAAGCTAAGTCTCCGAATCTTACCAGCTTTCCATCACTATCTACAACAGGAAGCCGGCGGTATTTTGTTTTGAGCAGAAGTCTGGCAAATTAGACAAGTACATTTGAGACAGACTGCTTGCTATAGAAACATAAAATTGGCTAAAGGAAGAACGCAGATTAAGCTGAAATCAAGAATAAATGATACTACCTTGCTGCATCCTCTAGATTGGTGGACTCCCTAACTACTAGTGGAGCAGGCGTCATCAAATCACCAACCACTTTCCCCTTGGTCTTACTTATCAACTTTTGAACCTCATTGAATGTCTGCATTTACAAGTCAAGTTGGATGTGTCACAAGTTCAATAGCTTTGTTTGTGGGTCACAACAATTTTGGTTTTCCATACATAATAAAGTGCATTTTCATAGCTCCGACATACAGCAAAGCAAATGTCCTCAAGTTCAGGAAGGTAATCAGGTAACCATGTGTGCAAGTATTAGAGTAAAGCAGATGATAATTAACATAAATACTGCCACCTGCACTAGTTCAGCATGGAAAAAGTAAATGTATTCAACTATTCCAAAAGTTGCCTAAAGTAACGTGGAAATAAGAAGTCTACTAATTGATAAGGAGAACGACGGATGGTTCAGCATTGGACGGAATATCCAGTTAGAAACATGCCATACTGAGTACGATGAAATCCAAAACCGTATCACTCAAACACATATAACTGTGGTTCAAAAGCCACCTCAAACAATGCCCTATACAGACTCACATAAGCTGTCTATGTTGCCTGTTTTTGCAGGATGCATTTCCTATGCTCTTTTCTTGATCAATTAATTAAAGGTTTGTTTTTAGTAGCAGCCTAGTAGGGGTAGTTTGGTGGAGTGAAATAATGAATGCATTAGCTCTATGTATTACCAGTCCCTTGTTTGGTACACTTTTTCATTCTATGTATAAATGCACACTGTATTGTGTATTGAGGAGTGTAATACTAATACCATGGATTTCTAGGTATTAGTAATACAAAGGAATTGAATGCATGCAATAGCATGGATAAAGACCCGATTACCCTTCAGAAGTACTTTTACATCTTTTCCACATAATTGTGGAGGATATTTTTGTAAATAAATATTTGTATACAATGCATACTATTTTTAATCCACCAAACCAAACAATGCATAAAAAATAATCTATGCATAACTAATGCTAGTATTACTAATACAAATGTTACTAAGATTTGTGCTGTAGTCAAGTGTACAATGCAACTTTCACTTGTTATTAAAGTAAATGAAAACGCCAGTAAATTGTTCAAGTACACATTTTCATTTGACCTTTTATCCCTCTCTTTGCTATGCCTTTTATTTCTCAAACTTAAATAATTTGTCTGGATGCTTTCTTTGAGAAAGAAAAAATGTAACTTTGTTATAGATTCCTGTAACAAGATCAGATTGGATGAATTTGGATATAATGGAAGTATGGTTTAAATTTGATTGATAGCTCAAACCTACTAATCATTGACCTCGCATTTCTATTCACCGGGTATAAGAACAGATCTGATTATGATATCTTGTTTGACACATGAACCCATTCAAATCTATTTCCAGCTGCCGAATTCCCAATAGCTTAAGGATGGCTTCCTCGAAATGCTTGTCCAAGTGGAACTGGAAATTCTCTACATACTAACTCGAACTGTCGAACACTTGAGTGATCTTTACTGATGCTCTTGGTTTGCAGTTATAGGCAATTGCAAAAACAAGAAACATTTACATTATATCAATATGTTCATAACAAATATCTGGCTCACCAAGATGGTTATATCGTTCCTAAAACTGGAACCCAGTGTCATCCCAGCATAATTGATAGAAGCTAATGATTAGCTTCCACATTTACTCACAGAGGAAAGGAAGGAACAGTTGATCGACAAACACTATATTTGTTAATGATTTAAAAACCTTATGATCAGTACTTTTGTCTATATGAAGTTACCTGGAAGAGTAAAGGTCTAAACTCTTTAAGTCCTGTTTATAAATAGAACCACTACAAATAGTGCAGCAGATTACATGAAGAGTTGGAGAAGTAAAACAATCGTGAGGTTGTCCACAATCTCAGTCATCAATTACTTTCTTTTGAGTTCCTATATATTGGAAGCTAGATCCTCTTTAGGGGACAACTATACCACTTATGATATTTAACCAACTTGCTACATATTAATAATTAAGCATGTCAAGGATTTAATGATAGAAGTTGTTCTCTCCCCAGTTAATCTGTTCTCAGGGTCTTCATAATTATTAGATAAAGTATCCTCTACAAGGCTAATGTTAATAATTTTCTATGCCGAAATTAAGATTATTTGTACCTTCCAGTAAGTAGAATTTTGGGGTTTAC